GTGCACTGACCGCCATCGCGTGCCGTTCGTGCCCCCCTCCCGGAGCGCGTGGCCCAGTGCGCGCGCGGCGGCCAAGCGGACGGCGCACGAGGCGTCGTGGGCGGCCGAAGCACCTTGAGAAGTTGAGGATGCAATTTGGTGGAAATATTATATATATATATATTATATCTAAATATTTTGTGTCATATCCTCAGTTAGGATTCAATATCTATATATACTATATATATATTCTTCACACACACACAAAAGCAAGGGGATGATGATGTGGTAAATAAAGACATGGCCCTGCAAAAGCGCGTCCAGGCTTTCCTGATTGCTAGTGGGAATGGGGTCTTAATTGGAACATGTTCTGTGTGTTAACTTTCCAGATAGCTGATCGCTCGAGGGGTCGACCCCTCTTCTGTGAAGCAGGCCCTTCTGCTCGCAACTTCGTTTGGACACTTGGAGCCTGGGAACCCAAGGGGTCACCTTTTAGGGTCCTGGTGAGAGCTTGGATGAGGGATTTGCACACATCTTGAGGTCCCATTAGGCAGACAAACAGACACGAATGGAGAGGACCGGAGCAAAGAAGAGAGAAAAGGCAAATGAGGCAAAGCAGAGAAAAGATCAATTCGGATTACAGAGAGAAAGCGAGAATCAAGAGAGAGAGAGAGAGAGAGTGGGTCACCATCCAACATGTGTAATGCAAAAAACAATGTTATATTAGTTTGCAAACGAATGACCTTAAGGATACAGCTTGATACTTGCAAATATAGATGCAAACACGTATATAAATATATTTTGGGTCTATCCTAATACCTGTAACAGTGGATGATGATGGTTAAGGTACCAGGCCTTGTTCAAAAATAGTGATTTGCTTGTTTACTGACGGCTCTACAGGTAAGAACGGACAAACCCAATATATATTACTAATACATCTTGTTGTTTTTGAAGAAGCCGGGCTGACGCCACCAGCGACTTGGAAAGACCCTCCACTTGACAGGGGGATCCTTGACTAGCCAGGCTTGGTTCCGGGTTTCGATGGATCAAACAGAGGTTGCACATGAAAGAAAAAGGTGGGCGTTCTCAGATCGGATCCTCGGATCGGTCCCTTTTTTCCATGTGCAACATGCCTTGTGCTTACCTTAGTGATACAGCACTTCGCTGTTTGGGCGCTCCCATCGGCCAGCGTGCGTGCTGAAACCGCCACGACCCGCACTCAAAGTGGAACTTTTTTGGAGGGCACAAGAGGGATGACCTTCCTCTCCAGTCAGAATTGCACAAACCAACGAACCAACATAATAGTAGAACATGCACCCAAAACGACTCTGTAAACAAACGTTTTATAACACAAGTCTCAAGATGTCTGGCCTGCAGGAAGCCAGTGCCTATCTCCGAAATTCCACCGTGCCCCGGCGGTTGGGATCTTCACTATTTATGCGAGCGAAAATTCTCCAGGCCAAGCAGTTGAAGGTCTTGCAAGTAGGGAGCTGCTGCTCTCGTGCATAGATGCTCAGCGCTTGAAAGATCTCATCTTTTGAATACCCATGGCAGTATTCTCCACTCGTTTTCTTCTCTGAAAGGAGGCCTGCATTCTTGAGTATGTCAATGATGCTCTTCATTTGGTTTGCAGCTGCTGCTGGCTGTTGCCACTGGCCCGGGTATGCACTGGAAAGAAATGCGGCGCGCAGTTTCTCTTCGACATCCCGGCTGCAGTCGGAAGCCTCGGGCAGCAGGTCCATCTTCCGCAACGTTAGCTTGTTGTGAGCTGTATTGACAAAGCACAGCATGGCTTCATATTCGTCAGGGTTCCGTTCATCGAGGTAGCCCAGCTGTTTCAGTGCTTGAGTGGCCAGGTCTTTGGAATCTTTTAACATCAAAGGTCCGCCACCTCTAAAAATCGCACGTGCCAATGCATTTCCATATGTCATTCGTATAACATGAGTGGCTTTTTTACCTCCGTGAGTTGGCAACAGAAAGGCCAACTGACCAGAATTCCTTTGCCAAGATGCGGTCTTGGAAGCCTTGATTCTTTTGTGCACTGCAAGTGTCAAAGTCGGAGTGGGGTAAACAATGAGTCGTCCTAAACCATTGACAAACCAGAACTTGGTGCACGCTTGTCTAGGGTGCCCCGAATATCCCAAATCTTCAAGGAATGATTTCACTCGCTCAAACTTCTTCTCGTAGCTTGGTCCGTCTCCTGTCACTGTAAAGGGATCTGAAAATTGCACTGAACCAGCTCCATCTTCATGAAGGATTGCTTGAACATGTGGATGACTTTCGTCAGTGTGTTTCAACTTCAAGACTTCAAGTCCATTCTCTTGGTATTTTGCTGCCACACCAAGATCGGACTCAGGAACCAGCACCAAATAGCTGGGGTTTGTGTCCGCAAGCTTCAGCATGATACTTATAAAACCCGTATCTCGGGTCAACAAGGCAATGCGATGTACTCTACGACGTGTGGAAAGCTCTTGCATCGCAGCTTCCATCGCCTCGTCATTGGGCTCTCTCGAATGGTCCTTCGAACGAGGAACCGGTCGGAATGTGATGCCAGGCTCTTCCAGAAATTCACGCCACTTCTTGTTTTCAGTTCGCCGTGGTGCCGCAAAGACGTGTGTGCGAACATGGCCGCCCATGTTCTTCAAACGGCTTGTCGCATGCTTGAAGAGTTCAATGCTCCCACGATCTGCATCCACCAGAAGCTCGGTGATTGGTGATGAGGCCCGTGCCACCTGATCAAATCTTCCAGCTGGTCCAAGCTGCTTGCCGCACCTCTTTTTTTGCTGCACTCCTACACCAGCTAAACAACTCAGGCACCATGGCCACTGCTTACGATAAGGCCAGTCAAAGCCTCTGCCGCCAAGCAGGCGATGATGGCAAGTACCTCGCAGCCCTCCGGCTGAGCTTTGGGGTCCGCTGCATGGCCCACTGGGGCGACTGCAAACAGAAACACCAGCTCCATGCCACATGTGAGTGGAATGGCTTGACAAAGGAAGCTGAACGCTACTGATTGATTGGATGGATGAACTTTTGTGATCACTTGAATTCAATTTTAATTTGTACGGTAATTGGTTTTTTGTTAACATCCCCGAAGCTCCGGAATTCCTCCCCCATCAAGTGGCTGGAGACCGTTCGGTCGATTCGCCGGGTCTGGGAAAGGGTCGTTCTTGGGGCCGCGGGGGCAGCACGCTCCTCGCGCCGTTGGCGGGCACAACCCTTGAGTATGCACAGCTGCGAACGACCCTCCTGAAAGGCAAACCAAATCGGGAGGACAACCCGGTTGCCACCCCGCTTCACTGATAGAAGTTTGGAAGGTAGAAGCAATGAATATCATCCAACATCTTCAAATGTGCGTGTCTCAACTGCCATAAGGATGCCTGAAAACTAGACCAGTAACGCCCCCTTGTTCCTAGAAGCTTCTTGCTACTAGTAGCAATGCACCCGTTCCTAGTAGCGACCCAAGAACGAACCCAACTCGAACCTCGCCCCGGAACTCCAACCGAACTCGACCGCCCAGGCGCGGAGCACACCCAGCGACCACGCTTCGGCTTCCTGGCGGCAGCGGATGCGGAGCACACCGCTCAGGCCTTCCTTCGGTGCTCCTTCGGTGCCCCCGAGGGGGCGGGGGGGTGTGAGTTTCAAGTTGAGAGGAGTCATGATGAGTCGATCCACCTCATAACACGTCCCCAGTGTATGTGGTGAGAGTCAGGTGGATTTTTTCTGATGTGCTTTTTTTCATTCTTTGTCTGACTCTGGGAGAGGGGGAGGGGGCCACCCTCCAACGAAGAGACTGCTTGGACACCCCAACTGGTCAGTTCCGGCTCGGCCGGTCCACGGTCCACCGGCTCGGCCCCAAGTCCTCCTCTCTCCTCCCCGGCCCGCACGGTCCGCCGCTCTGGGCGTGCTCTTTTCTCTTTTCCTCCCCTATTTGGGAGCCACAGCGCTGCACTGTGGTAGTCGAGTGGTAACAAACAGGGTCAAAGAGCCGACCAACGCAAGGGAGAGATGTTTTTTTTTGACGCTCCTGGCCGTTTGATGCCACTGATTGGATCCAATTTCTTGTGCAAGTGGGCTGGTGCAAGTCAAGCTCCTTAACATCCCCCTGTTCTCTGGCTGGGAACGGTCTCAGTAGCGCAGTTCCTGGCCGAGCTGAAGCGTTTGGGGGGTTTGGATGACGGAGTTGTCACCATTCACAAAAATGGTTGACCTGGTGTTTGCAGTGTAAAATCCTGAATTGGTAAAGGCCTATGAAATTCATGGTTGGAAGCCTAGGGTCATGCTTTTTCTTCCAATGGCTTTCTTGCAGGAAGGGTTTAGAGGGAATTTTCTCAGAGCTTTCCCCGGAGCGTCGGGCCAATTTCTCGGTGGATGTCTACAGTCTACAGCCAGCATTGGAGCTCTTCGCCGGAGTCTTCTGGGCGAGCGACGACACAAGGGCGGCAGTCCGAAGAAGCAATGCACCACTCTGCGCCACTGCTTCTTGGGGGATTCAAGATTGACATGGGCTAAGAGAGGTACCTCCCTATCATTCATCATTGCTACCCAAGTGCTTTGACCATTTTGACAGAACTCTCTTCATCCACATACACTCCAAAACAGAATGGCCTCCACCCAGCGAAAAGGGGAACACCGAGTTTCGCCGGTTTCGTGTGGAGACAGGACATGACAAAGAGTAGTGAGTAGTATGGCAGACGGCAGACCACAGAAATACAACGTTCTACAGGACAAGCATGGTGTTTTGGGATATGATTACTCCATTTTCACCCATGCTGCAGCCCGGGCCGTTATCAAGTTATCAACATTAATCGAGTTCACTCGCAACTGTTGGTTTGTTTTTTACACGTTGATGGACCGAAAACTAGGTTCGAGTGGTTGTCTTTGGACCCCAAAGAAGAGAAACCACTTAGATTTTTCATGATTTTAGATCTTCTTTGGGGTCAAACTCTCAAATCTATGGGGATTGTGCGTGATCTCTTCTTTGGGGTTTTGCCTTTCTCCGACTCCGCGGTCCTGGACGGTCCCTAGGAGGAGCGGGCCATCTGTGAGGGGCGGAACCTCGGAGGAAGATGCCAAACCCTTCGAACATTGAATGGTATTTCTTTTGGTTTATCAACAGGTCGACATCGTCCGACCAACATATATCATATATCCGAAAACACCTCACTGTGACAAATATGCTTGGCTGGTTGGGTGTGCACATACTATGTGCACATGTATCGTCAAAGACTCGTAACGGTCTTTTGAGGGTGATTTTAGAGCCATATTCCGAATCCATTTCTGCAGGCAGAGTCCCCAAATGCCTTCGTGCGGCAAGGCCCAAAAAAGTTCCTTTCTTGACCGAAAAACCACGTTAGTGAAGAACCCCTCGCACCAGCAGGATCCCATGGAATCCAAGATTCTTCTGCACCGAACAAACGGGTGAAGAGACGCCTGTCTTAGAAGGCACGAACAAACGGGTGAACGCTTCGCTCCTTGTCGAACGGACCCCGTGGAACGATGAAGGCGTGAACGGTCGCAACCGAAGCGGAAGACCGAGTCAGACCCGCTGTTCGGTGACCTTGCCCGGGTCGTCCAAAGCACCAGCTGGCCGATGTTGAAGACACACATGCTGGCTGTGGTGGCAATTGCAAATAAACATACAACAATATTAGCATAGTTTCCCCCGAAAAAAAGACGAATAGAACCGATGAATTTGGTAATTCAATCACCGGGTGTTGCAAGAAGCACCCTGGAGTGGGGCGCTTCTTCAGACCGCTTCTTCAGACCTACTGGGGGGTGGGGACCTCGTCCAGCCAGCCTGTCCCCAAACGCCTCCAGGTCGCATGCGCATCCGATCCGTGGATCGCGGCGAGGGCCGCGGCTTGGCCTCGTCCTCCGAGCCCTGAGGGACCCGAGCCCCGTGTGGGCGGAAGCGAGCCCTGAGGGACGCGAGGGTCCATGACAACAATCCCGCCGGAACCAGGAGAATCTTTCATCACCAGGCGGAGAGGGATCTTTCAAAAACCTACGTAGTTCCCTTTGTTTATCTTGTGGGCGTACATTAAACCCATCCAGTGGATTCTGGAGTTAATTTGCTTGACCGACGTCGTATCAAAAAAAGGAGAAACACAACAACCTGCTTAATGATACTGATAAGTTTCACCCCTAGCGCGTCTTGGCCCTTCACGCGGAAACACACACCCCAAGCAGCCCGGGGAGCTGCTCCATTGGTCCGTGTGTTTGAGGACGTTCTCGATCCATCGGCCAAGTCGATTCCCACCGAGGATCAGAGTCGCAGAGTCCATCCAGGGGGTTCTCACACACGGATGCATCGCAGGCCGTCTGCTCCATCCGGATGCCCTGGGCAGGCGCTTGCTTTTTTGGCACGCCCAAAAAGAGGGCCAAAGAATGCTGAAGACACTTTTAAGGCTGGAACACCCTATGTGTCAACGCGAACTCGTTGCTATGTTTTTTCATTGCTTAGCACAAACAATTGCTTAGCATAGTAATTGATTCAAGTCAGTTTCCAAAGCTGCCAAACAGGGTCGCCAAACGAGGCACACACGGCACACACGGGAATCCAATGACTTTCCTGGTATGGATTGGGGGTCCACAGTTCTGGATCTTGCCTTGACAAAGCTAGTTCTAGAATCCTAGAACAACCTTCTTGTTTGTGAGTGGCGACCGCAAATCGTGACAATCTCTTTTGCTCGGCCTTGCTTCTCCCCACCGGTCACCGTCGCTAAGTAAGGGGCTGACCGGAGGCTGTGAGCCTCACATCTCACAATGTGTGTTGAGGGACTCTCCAAATTCTTGTTTCCTTGCCAAGCTCTTGTTAAATTCAAAGGCCAATCAATCAAGTAATCATTGGGGTGGCACAAGTCAGTGACTTCGCGCGACTCCAGGTTCACACTTTCAAAGAAAACAATGGACCATGGACATGCATTTGCTGTGGTTGGTACAGTTTGACAAGATAAGGGTGACAAACAACATCTAGCACCCTACAAGCTCACCTCTCCACTCAACAGTGGTGTATCAAATTCTCTACAACTTCGCAGTTCGTGTCCATGGGCTCATGGGCCAACCACGAGGTATGGTTTACGCATCGAATCATATATATCGATCAATGCTTCCAAACGCCAAGGTTCCCCCGCTTCACCCTGGAAAATGGACCAAAGAACCTTTCATCGGCCAACGTGAAACACGTTTCACCGTTGTCTGCGGCCTTGGCATTGAGAATGCACACAAAGGTCAACATCAAGACGAAACAAAGTCCAATCTGCACAGGCTGCTTCCCATTCGGTGTGGCTTCGTGAAAGGAGGAATGGGCCAAGTGATGGCCAGGTGGTCCAATTCTCTGTTGGTCGGTTGGGTTCCACAGAATGTTCTTTGCCCAAACACATTTTTGCAACTTCCCCAAAGGGGTTTTGCTGGTTTTCATGATTCGATTCTAGGCTGCAAACTCCACGTTAGACATGGGTGGGGCTTGATTCGTGCTAGGCGGTTGGTGAGTCTTAGCTTCAGTGGTGAGAGCGTGGTTCATGTCAGCAGTCCTCTTGCAGCGGGAAAAAAAGCTTTCAGCAAAATATAGAGCTGGGGGATCAAAACAACTCTGTTGAGTTTCGGCGAGTTCAACTCGCCCTAAATCGCCCCAACCCAACTGGAGAGTGAGTACAACGATTATTTTGGAACAGGAAGCGAACCAAAATGAAAGCGGATTGACCAATCTTCAAGCTGTTTCACCCGGGGTTTGTATGATCAACTCCAGGTTTGGTCCATGCAGGGCCTTGTTTGAGGAAGAGAGAGAGAGAGAGGGAGAGGGAGAGAGAGAGAGAGAGTGAACCATTGTTCTTACCACCGGTGATGTGCAGAGCTTCCTTTTTACAAAAAGAGAAGAGGAGGTCGGTCCTTTCCATCGAAGGCAAACAGGATTTCACCTGTTTTTGCCAGATTTGCTATGATTTGGTTCGTTCTGCGATCAGCACCTCAAGCTTGACACATATATATATCCCTTCAGCAAAGAACCCGTACACCCGCGCGGAGCCGCACCAGCATGGCCGGCAGCCACCAAAGAGGTGCGTGACCCACATCCTCCGGGCCATAGGACACGGTGGCTTTCACGGGTCCTGGCTCGGTGCGCTCGGGCTCGTTGTTTGGGGGCAGGGCCGAAGAGGGCGTTCCTAGTAGCTTCTTGTTACTAGTAGTAAGGCCAGGAGCCACTAGTAG